GAAATGTTTATTTTAAATACCTACCTAGTTCTGGGATAGTTGAGGTCTATCCGTAGATACTTCAAAATATCCTCATTCCATTTAGCTTCAATTATTTTTGTTTTGAAATTTTCACAGCGAAGGTTATGACCTACCATCGCTTTTCCGATACCATTAGATAGAGGAAAGAGCGTCAAGATTATAAGTAGGTGCAGTATAAACATTTTAATTTTATTGTTTGTTATTCCAGCAAATTTGAGATCATAACTGACATAATGGTGGATCCGCTGAATGCACCAAATGCCAATCTCAGGAGTCAAGTTTGACATAAGTTTATAATTTGGGCATGAACCTTCAGAATATGTTTAGGACTTCTACAATGGTGCAATTGGTGCGATGACTGATTTATACTTCATCGATATTATCCCAAGCATAAAAAAAATACTTTTTTGCTGTGGAATTATTTATTTTGTTGGACTTAAGAATACATTACATGTGTGGCAAAGTGGAAAATATCAAATATCGTCCGTATGACGTCGGATCAACCCACAAAAATGAAATAAAAATTTAAGCAGACAATTAAAATAATTGACTCCACGCGGTACACCAAAAACGTTTTTTTCTCTAGAAAATTGCCCCCAATTAACTGAAAACAAAAACGCGAAGATAAAAACGAATTTAATAATTGACATCCCCACACCGGAACGTTTTACCGCAGACGCTCCAAGATGGCGGAAGAAAAACTAATGAAATTCGCTAAGTATCTCATGATAGCGACGGGAATGTGGCAACTCGAGTTCACCGAAAGTTCAGGGCTCAAGGCCGCCTATTACGCGTACTCGGTATATCACCAGGTCAATTTCGCCACGTTCACCGCCTCGTTGACGGTAGGAATGGTGATCATCGTCGCCAACGGCGGAAACATCAACACTTTGTCGGAAAGTATGGGCATTACCATCATCTGGGTGATAATCCTAGCGAAACTGACCATCTGCAAGACCGCGAAGGTGAAACGGCTCGTCAACGAGTCAATTAACGGTGAAAAAATCATCTTTTCGTCGGGCAACCCCGAATCCATAGCCGTCTATAACGTTCAAATCAAATACTCACGCGTCATCAACGTCATGGCCTTCTTCATGTCGTTCATGGTGGCCTTATCGATGCTCGTCGCTAATCTGGCTGTCCGCGACAAGATAGATCGGATGAATGTGAAGATGAACGAGTCCATAGCGAAACCCGAACTGTACTGGAACTGGTTTCCGTTCGACAAGGACGAACACAGGACCGGCACCAACGTCATCTACGCGTATTGTCTGTATAACGCAGCCCTCACCAACAGCGCTGCGCAGGTCTTCTTCGTAAGTACCATAACTTACGCTGGGGCGCAGCTCAGGGTCTTGCAGATTAGTTTCCGGGATATCGGCGCAAACGATTCCGCCGACATTTTCGAAAAAGTCGAGCGTCTCATCGAAAAGCATCAGGGTGTGGTCGAGTAAGTCCCGATTTTTAGGTCAAAGCTAGTCGGACCCGCACAAAGTTTTGGTTGGTTTTGGTTTTCGCAAAATCGATGTAATTTCGTTGCACCCTGTATAAAGCGTCTCACTTTAAAGTTACAAAAAAGTTACAAAATATCCACAAATATCTCGCGCACCCTGTATGGTATACGAAACCTGAAACCCTTTCTGGACACAATTCACGATACTGTTTAAACCAACCGCGTTTTATAGTTTTCCGTTTACCGGAAATAATTTACAGTTTTCATTAGATTTTTCGTCTGCGTTCGACACACTTTGCGCAGGCTTATTCATTGCATTTTGACACCCACTTACAGGCTTAATTTTGAAAAGTGTAAATGTTTGCTCTATTATCTTATGAAAATGTCAGAAAAAACACACGACGATACATCTTTATTTTCTGATTTCAAAAACATATAGTTTATTGAATTTCATTTAGCCGTTTTTCAGATTTTTCAGTTTAAAAATAATTATCGTTCGCTTTCTGGACAAAATGGTCAAGTCTGCTTTGCAACCATATTATCTATGTTTTTTTTGACAATGTTCTACTTTTGACAACTAGTCAAAGCTAAAGATCTGCAGCCCAAAGAGTATAAGGTAGAGTGGAATGCTCCCATTAGTGGCAATTTTAACACGAAGTTTCAACGCCCTCTAGTGAGTGTGTCCAGTCTCGAAAACCGAAAACTCGCGGGACGTACTGTTCAATTCAATTTAAAGTTTGAAAGGTGAAATGTGAAAAAAAAATGTCGAAATAGTTTTAAATTTTTTTTAATTAAAATACAAATAAAGTGCTGTTATCACAAGTTACTGTAGTATTTTCAGTGTGACGCATTACTTTAAACCGCCATGACGGTACTTTAGTACTTGGACACAAATAATAGATGGCATTCGTAACAGTATACGCGACCTTCCCGTCCATCTTATATTCTTTGCTGCAGCCTAAGTTAAATAACTTATACTGAGGAAGAAAAACGGCGAATAATTTATATTATTCAATTAAATCTTGTCACTTGTAACTCGCTTGTTAACTTTCAAGTCTACTATAATAAATCTTATATTTTAATTATCACCACACAAACAAATGTCACAAGGATTTAGGTCGGTGCTGTTGGCAGGCCATTTGATGGTTCCTTGCCTACCTATCCAAAGTTTTTATGTATTATTTAGATAATCGGTAACCGATTGAACATTATGTGCATAATTGCCATATTTTCTAATAACTGTTCTATTTCTGGTCCGACCACCCTATTGTTAAGCTATTAAGCCACGATAACGGCAATTTCAGGATCTTTTTGTTTGTTTACCAATAATCGACGTATCTTGTACATAATCCAAAAAAATGCCCAAAGTAAAAGTTATAGCCCTAGATCTCCCACATTTTCCGGTATATGAATTTTTTCAATAGGATAAATAGTTTGCGAGAAAATACTTGTATCGTAATCGTAAATACAAAAATTGTAGCCCTTGTAGCCTATAACACTGTTTGAACACATTAGCTATTTTTTGTACGAATATTGATTTAAGGTTAATAATTTAATGAAACACCTTGTATGTAATCGAAAAAATGAGTGAAACAAAGTTATAGCGCCAGATCTCTAACGTATTAGGGTTGTAAAATTTTTCCCATCGGATGAATGGTTTTGGTGGAAAAGATGTTGTTCCGGAAGCCAAAATAACCAAAAAAAAAATATTCAAAAATTTTAAGAAAATACTTCGCGTTATTTTCTACTTTCTACTTCTACTTCTCTCCCAAGTCTAAAGTCGGTAGCTGCAAATTTAGGGCACTTATTACGTTTTTTCGTTTTGCACGGCACATCGCTAACACCCTGTGCCACACTTAAAAACCTGTCTATACGAGCTATATCATCATGTAAAAAAAAACTGACGTCTATTTTTCAGTTTTTTGAATTTGCGGCGCACCCTGTATATTTTTCAAAAATAGCTAAGAAAAAACAGTTTATGAAGTTGTATCCTCTGCGTCTTCTGGTTTAAGAATTTTTTCAGTCTTCTAAACGGTTTTTGAAATATGGTCTTTTTGCATACGCGATTTTTATTTTTTTTTTAAATACTTCTCTACACTTAATTTATATTTACGATGAAACATCTTCATCATCAGAGTCAAAGTTGTAACTGTTACCACCAGAAAATGATCCAATTTTCTTTGGCAACTGTCTGGAGAGCTGCCTTCCAAACAGATACTGCAGCAGCAACATCGTATTTTGCACTGAGCCCACACCAATTCTATGGCAATCTTAAAACTTGAAGACCCATTTCAGTAATTATTTCATCCGTAGCAGTTTCTTTTGTAATTTTGTCAACTCACATTTTAGACCCTTCCATAAAAATTAAAGACGGCTTGTTTTAGCAGCAGTTTTTCAAAAATGCGACGCTGCTTGATATTGTTCATCGGTTAAATTTTGCACTGGAAGGAACTGGACAACTTTTCAACGTCAGGTATAGAATATTCAGGATTTGATTGGATTGATTGAAGTCATGAATAGTATAATAATTTACTTTGAAAATAAAGTACAATAATATATCAAATTTCTTTCTATTGTCCTGGTCTTCCGTGTGACAATATTTTGGTCCTCAAATTATTTAATTATATTATATAAGATAATAGAGCAAAAATCTTCAAACTTTTGCATTTACACTTTTTTTTATATCTTTCAAAATTAACCCTGAAGATGTGTGTCAATAACCTAGCCCGTAATCCAAAAAATGCCTAATGTAGAAGTTATAGCCCTGGATCTCCCACGTTTCCGGGAATATGATTTTTTTAAATAGAGTAAATGGTTTTCAAGAAAATACTTTTTTTCAAACTAACTAACCAAAACTATGCGGTACTTCGTGATAGTAAATGACGTCATCGCGTCATTTTCGTATAGATTTTTTGAAATATCTCGGGCAACGTATGCGATAGATGATATAGATACAAAAATTCTAAAATATTTCAAAGAAACAGCCCTAGTTTTCACCAATTTTAGATTTTTGTCTGCCATTGAAAAACCCTGTCTAAAATCGAGAAAATGCTTGAAGTAAAGGTTATGGTAGCGGATCTTTCGCGTTTCTTGGTCTAAAAATTATGCCGATCGGTTAAACAGTTTTCGAGAAAACATTTTTTTTCTAAGCAAAAAGATTCAAAAATATTTTTTAAACCCTTTGCGAGATTTAATTGCGCCCAAATTTTACAATTCAGATGTGGGTATGAAGTTCTACTTCTCTGGCAAATTTGAAACCTGCGAAACCTTAAATACGAGCCATACAAAAAAAATTAACCTCAAAAACATAGTTTTCTAGTTATATATATAGTTATATATATATATATATATATATATATATATATATATATATATATATATATATATATATATATATATATATATATATATATATATATATATATATATATATATATATATATATATATATATATATATATATATATATATATATATATATATATATATATATATATTTTCTAAAAAATGGAATGTTCGTTTTTTTTTTGCTAATTGTCAAGAATAGTGACTGGTGACGCAATTTTTGATCAGCTGATTGAAAATATTCTTCATTGGCAAAACTGATAGACTTAGAAGCACAAATAAATATTTGTGATATGAAAACAGTCGAAAAAGAAACTTGTTTATAATAAATAATACGAGCAAACCATAAAGAAAAATATACCCACCTTTACTTAGCAGATTAATAGAAGACAAGGCTTTTAAACACGAACTCTTTTAGCTGCTATCCGCCGATTGTAAATACTCTTCAATGGCAAAGCTGATGGACTTCCGTTTGTAACATGAGAACAGTTGAAAAAGAAAATTATTTATAATAAATAAAACGAGCAAATATAAAGGAAAAAATATACCCACCTTTTCTTAAAATATTTAAAGAAAACGAGACTTTAAAATAATAAGTTTTTTAGCTGCTATCAACGGATTGAAAATATTCTTCATTGGCAAAACCGATGGGACTTAGAAGCACAAATAACCATTTGTGATATGGAAACAGTTGAAAAAGAAAATTGTTTATAGTAAATAATGCGAGCAAACCAAAAAAGAAAAATATACTTACCTTTTTTTAGCAGATTTAAAGAAGACAAAATTTTAAAATGATAAGTTTTTTAACTGCTATCATAAAACTGATGAACTTGGAAGCACAAATAACCATTTGTGATATGAAAACAGTCGAAAAAGAAAATTGTTAATAATAAATAATACGAGGAAACCAAAGGAAAAATATACCCACCTTTTCCTAGCAGATTTAAAGAAGACAAGACTTCAAAATAATAAGTTTTTTAGCTGCTATTAGCTGATTGAAAATATTCTTCATTGACAAAACTGATGGACGTAGAAAACAGAAAATTGTTTATAATAAATAATACGACCAAACCAAAAGGAAAAATATACCTACCTATTCTTAGCAGATTTAAAGAGGACATTACTTTTAGATACGATTTTTTTTTAGCTGCTATCAGCTGATTGACAGTCGAAAAAGAAAATTGTTTCTGATAAATAATACGAGCAAACGAAAAGGCAACTATACCCTCCTTTTCTTAGTAGATTTAAAGAAGACCGGATTTTTAAATAATAACTATTTTAGCTGGTACCAGCTTATCGAAAATACTGTTGATTGGCAAAACGATGAAGTTAGGAGCACAGCGAACCTTTTGTGATTAGAAAAGAATTGATAAAGAAAATTGCTTATAATAAATAATAGGAGCAAACCAAAAAGAACTAAGAAAACAGATGAGACTATTAAATAATAACTTTTTTAGTTGCTATCAGCCCATTGAAAGTATCGTTGATGGCAAAACTGACGGCGTTAAAAGCACAACTAACCATTTGTGATGAAGAAACATTTGAAAAATGAAACACGCAAGACAGGAAAAAGTAAACCTTTGGAATCTTCACTTAGGACATCATTGATATAAAACTTGCAATTTCTTATGCTAAATATTTGTGGTAACGTCTTTGTTCTCTGTTTAGCTTTGTAAGAGACCTTAACGGCTCTATGAAGTACCTGATGCTGCTGGAATACACGCTTAGCTCTTTGAACGTGGCTAGTGTTTCGATCCAAGTGACGTCGGTAAGATTTGCTGTCGGAGTACGACTCAAATTCTTGGATATTTTTTTAAGGTCGAACCCAGCGTGACGTCCCTGGCTTTCCCGATAATATACCTCTGCCTCTTGGTGTTCCAAGTCTTCGTTCTCGGTTGGTATTCCAACGAGATAAAGATGCAGAGTTTGGCTCTGGGTGATGCGGCGTACAAGAGCCAATGGTACGAGCAGAATGATAAAGTGAAGAAACTGATCCTGATGATGATAATGCGCAGCCAACGTCCCCTGGTGCTGGCTATCGGGCCCTTCGGCGCCATGACTACTCAGTCGGCTCTCACGGCAAGGCGCCACTTCTCTGTCGTTCGAGATTTTACGATGAGTTTTTTAGATCATGAAGGCGGCTTACTCGTACGTAACCCTCATGAAGAATTCTCACTGAATAATGACGTAGTAGCGGGACTAGTAAATGACAAATAAAACGACTTAGTACAAATTTGCTTTATTGAAATGCGAAATGTTGTGAGTTGTCAAAGAGGAACGTCGACCGGATCTACGCTTCACCAATTATTTGAACTGTCACCTCCGAAACCTACAATTAATAAGCCTTTTTCAAAATTGTATTTATAATTTCCTGTATGAAGTGAAAAGGGTTTTTAAAACCGCTTACTTCTTTGTTTCTATGAAAAAATGGGCATATGTTATAAATCTTTAGAGAGCAAGAATCGTGGAAGTTAACCCAAAGCAATTCCAAGAAATGTTTGGCAATTGCCATGCATGTTATCGAAAAAAAACAAGATATTACTCACATTCACGTGTGGAGGCGTAGATAGAGCGTAAACCACCGCATCTGCCACGTCTTCAGCTTTCAGACCGCTTTGAGTTAAACCCAGATCCTTGGCGGTTTTTCCTGAAAAAACTTCGATGAACTCGGTCTCTACGTACCCAGGACTCACGCTCTGAAAAGAAACTCTTATAAGACTAGGACCGTTGCTTTAATTAAACCGAAGAAGTAGCATATGCAATAGGGAACTTGGAAAAAAAAAATAATTTGAAAAATATTGCTAATAAAAGTAAGTTTATACTATTAAAAGTTCACAAAAATTATAAATTCGCAGTTCTATCTATCAAAGATAAGCAACTAAAAATTGTAAAATTTAAATCCTCTTTGAAACGAGCTTTAACCTTTGGCTATGACTGATTGTGACGTCAATCCGCTTGTTAGACTACGCGCCAGCCAGATGGTAGCATAGAGAAGCCATTAGAGAACGACCACTTGATCGCGTTGGTTTTAATTTCAAGTTTAGTCTTTATTTTGTCGCTTGCTTTTGTTATCTTGTGTTTAGTATCAAAAAGAAACTTTTGAAAATGACCGAAGCCAACTTTTTAAAATGTCAATCTGATAATTTACCTTTAATGGATATGTTTATGGTGTCATCTTGGATACAAAACAAAAAAGCTAAAATGTATGTTTAATAGAAAATTTAGCAACTAGTTTTAAACCAATATAATATCGTAATCGGCTTAAAGTTTTCTAGTTTTTAAAAATCAAAAATATCAAAAATCAAATCAAAAATATTCAATAAAAAAACAAAGAGGATTTTTTAAAACTAGTGGAATCCTAAATATATAAATAATATAATTCTCGACCTACAACCTGAGAATAACGATTGAAAAGCAGCGGTATGATGTCACGACCATCCCACCTGTTTAGTGTCGGAGCAAAAGGAGGGCGTCACAAGCAAAATTATTTATTGAAACTTAAATATTGGGTTTTGAGTTTTGATATGCATTATTTCTATACATAAACAAATGTATTAAAGAAATAAAAAAACTGTTCAAGTTTCCTAGTGTTCTATGAAACAAACCATTCGACGAGATTGATGATTTTGCGGTCTGTGATGTTTCTCAAGCCATTTTTAAAATCTATGTATCATTCAGCCGATTTTCTGATGATATGTATGTATGCAATTAGAATTTCCATTCTCAAAGTATTCATCTCATTATCCAATTCCCAAAAGAAACATCAACAATTGAGTATTCAAGAGGACGTGGGCGACATACTAAAGTGCACGCCACTGCGAAGAAGAAATTGATAGAATGCGCGCATTGCAGGTATAATGAACATACTGAATTACAGAAGGCATCCAGAAGTACTATGGAAAAAGGAAGGAAGCAACCCAATGGTAGAAACCAGAACTCGTCATTGCGCAACCGTAACTCTACAGAACTATGTAAAAAACGTTTCTTACTATCCACTTTGAGACTACATTGCACGAGACCCCAGGAAACTCCTCCTCATCATACTCAACTATTAAGCAGTGGGTTTCTGAGTTTAAAATAATCTGTAGGATGATAGCTGAGGGTGTGCGAAATATTTTCAACGGCCATTTGAGCATGGGCACGTGGGTGGCGCGTTTTCTAATGCTCCACCAAAAAATCTTTCGAAAAAACATTTCTACCGACAATTTCTAATGAGACTTGGATCCATCACTACATTCCCCAAAACAGTGAAAACAGTAGATTGTAAAAGAGGAACCAACTCCAAAGAAAACCAAAACAATTTTATCGCCAAACAAGGCTATGGCTACTGTGTTTTGGGATGCGAGAGGAATTTACATTGATTACCTTGAAAAGGGTAAGACTATCACTGGTCAATACTACGTATGGTTACTGCAACTTTTAAGGCACGAGGTGCAAAAGAAATGTTGTTTCATCACGACAACGCACCAGTGCATTCGTCGATTGTTGATGCAGCGACCTTCATACTCTCCAGACTTAGCCGCCAGCGACTATTACCTGTTTCCTAATCTCAAAAAATGGCTTGGCAGAAAAAAAAATTAAGAGCAACGAAGAAGTCGTCGAAGCAATAAATCAGCATTTTGAGGAGCTCGACGAATCTACGTTTAAAAAGATTTAAAACGAAATTAGCACACTGTTTTAAGAAATGTATCAGTGTTGACGAAGATTATGTTGGCTTTCCTTCAAAACAGTTAGAAATTGATCACCCGATACGCGGTATTGTTTTAAAAATTAGAAGCAAAAACGACAGCCAACACGCCGGTAATGAAAACACGGGATCAATCCCACTCCCGATGTTAGATTTAAACTATTAATAAATTAATATTTCTCTCGGGTTTTGGGAAACGAATTCATTCGGTTCAAGGCACGTGGTGCTTGAGGTTTTGAGGATTTTTATTATTTCGTTTATCACGATGTTGGACAAGAACCAGTGGCGACTCCAGTGAGAAATTTTACGTTGTTCCGCTATTCTTGCAAAAAACTTTCTTTTAAGAGACATTAAAATCGCTTGTATTACCTGTTTCCTAACCTCAAAAATGATTGAGCGGTAAAAGATTTAACGAAGACGTCATCGAAGCTGTAAATCAGTATTTTGAGGAGCTCGACGATACTAAGTTTAAAACTGGTATAACCAAACCGGTATGAGAAATGTATTAGTGTTGAAAAATAAAGCAAACTTTTTTTTTAATATTGTTTTCCTTGGTCAGTCCGGAAACTTTTTACAACACCCTCGTGGACAACATTAAAGAACCAAGAGTGGAATAAATAATATTGACGACTGGGATAAGTGCAGCTTTAGACATCAAGGGTATTTTAGCGTAATATTGTTAATCAATAGATGTTTATAATTTTAGTTTTTAATAACTTTCAAGATATACAAAAATTAAACAAAAGACGGTCAACTACGTGACGATTTTATTTATGAATGTAAAAAAAGCTACAATGTGTTAAACATTTTTGAAATTAGTGTAAATGTTGTTACGAAATTATAAAAGCTTTTTTGGCACACCTTGTAGATAAATATGTAATATTGTGTGAACAATCCAAAATTAAAATACACACGAAGTTATACGTAAACCGAATGGCAGAACTGACAAAGCCCAGCATTTAACGTAATATTTTCGAGTATTTTTTAGTTGCATATATATTATACGTACCGTTATTTTGATTTTAAGATTTTGACTGTTGATTTCGTGTCTGAGAGTTTCAGCCAGAGCGGTAACGGCGTACTTGCTGGCGGGATAAACGCTTGCGCCTGGAAAGTTGACGACTTTGTGCCCCGTGATGCTGTTAATGTGGATCACGTGACCGTCGATGTTGTTGGCCTTCATTTGTTTAATGGCTTCCCTCGTCGCGATGGACAAACCGAGGACGTTCGTATCTGTTTGTTAGGTCAAACGAGTTAATGTACGCAGTGGCTTACTACCGTTCAAGTATCGATCTGCTTCGAAAAAAGAAATATAATTTATAATGATAATAGGTCGGTCGGTTCCAAATAAATGCGAAAAAACTTTAGTTAGTTATTTATACAGGGTGTTTTCTAATTGAAGGTCAATAATTGTCCATTGTCCAATTGTCCATTTTAAAAAGAAAATTTCATTTTTTAAATTTTTAAAAAAACGCGTTCATCATTCTTTTAAGTAAAACCTTCATCAACATCTTTATGAAGCTGACTTGGTAAGAAGACTTCGATATTGGAATTGGCTGTTAGCTAAACATGAAGAGAATAATAATGAGCTTGTCGAGAGTTTCTTCCGCATTTTTAATCTTACCGACTTGACAACTAATACTGAATAGAAGCAAAGCAACCAAAGCAAAATTTTTGATTTTATAAAAATGTATTTACTTATCTGGTTTTCAAAAGTACCTGATTTAAAAAGTTTTTGTTCCCACTAGGGTGCTATTTGAAAAAACTAGGTTATCTTAAAAAATTAAGAGTTAATAATATCAGATGCTATTTGCCATTAGACAAGTAAAGAAAAGTTTCATTTACAATTTTTCTCAAGATCAGGTGAAGCGGTAAATAGAATTCATGATCATCAAAGCCAATTTTAAAAAATTAAATAAAAATTTAAAAAAACAAAAAGAAAAGAGAAAAACCGTCCTGCGTAGAATCCTGAATCCAAAAATGTAAAAAAATATAGGCTGTGCCATTTAAAATTCGAAAGTTACTGTCGTATCCGCTCAAAACTACATATAGTCAGAAAATTGGACATTCGGTCTATATTAACCCTTCCAAATTTCAAATCGCTATCTCAAGCTGTTTAAAAGTTATAGAGTATTCCCACTTTCTTGTGTCACCCGGTACATATTATATAAAACAATAAAATATTGCGGAATTATTAATATTATAAAAACACACTTTTCTAAGCAAATTTCAGGAGAAACTTATGCAATTTTATTTATTTAATATTATTTTATGAAACTGTTTTGTCTGCTTGATTTTTTTCATAAAACTTGCTTTTGTTTCTTTCCATTTTGAGTTGCGTAAAAAACTAAAAATTGCAACAAGAAACGCTTGGATGAGCCTACTAGATTTTTTTTTCTAAAAATTAACAGTAACGCAATGGTAGGGATTGTCTAATTCAATCCCCTTCACTATTTTTTAAAAAAAATATGCGGAAAGTGATACTAATATTTCTTTAATATTATACGTTATTTTTCCGCCATATTGGTATCCCGATAGGGCATTTGTTTTGAAACTCTGTATAAATTTCAATACAAAAAAAGAAATCGAAGCGTTTTTAAATTTAAAAAAACTGGCCACTTATTTTTTGATTTAATGAAAAACGAATGTATTTTTTAAAAGCCTTGACTTATTTATAGTTAAGAATAAGAAAAAAATCAAATAAATTTAGTAATAAGTAGTAATAAGCCAAGAACAAATTAACGGCAATATAATTTCAATACAATCCCCAAAATCAACTGAAAAACTGAAGAATATTAAAATAGAGGCAACGTAGCCTTAAATTAAATGAGAGTTTTCAATAAATAGTACAATTGGCAACCTTATAATTGTTCTTCATAAACCGTTCGAGGTTATACAAATTTTGGATCTTTAGTTAAAAGTAAATACTCCCATTCAAAAATGATATGAATTATTCATGGTTGCAAGATAATATTTATGGCGTTGGCTTTAAAAGATTTATTTCGTTTTGTGAGAGCAAAAGGAACGAAATAAAAAACACTGTTAATAGCAATACCATCCAAATTCGTATGTCCGCTATTACACTTTCAAAATATAGATAGAATGACATACTGTGCTGATTTGCTTGGTTTGAAAGATATTATAACCACTTAGATGAATAGTAATCCTATTATCCTATATATATATATATATATATATATATATATATATATATATATATATATATATATATATATATATGTATATATATATATATATATATATATATATATATATATATATATATATATATATATATATATATACACTTCGAACACTTTTCGGAGCGCGAGCATTGAAGATGCCAAGTGAGATTTTGGCGAAACGTCTGCAGGATTCCAGTCGGAGTTCAACAAGCGAACGGATGATATCCCGGAATATAGTGTCATCACATTTTTCCATCCGTGAATCAATACGTGAAAAAAAAAAATATATATATATATATATATATATATATATATATATATATATATATATATATATATATATATATATATATATATATATATATATATATATATAATCAATCATCAATTATTATAATTCATTACTGTTCTGTTAAACATTTTTGGGACTCCTTGATGAATATTTTTTGGGTCATAATATGTGTATGTAGAGACCAATAATGAAAATGAGGGAATAACACAGACTGATCAAGACCACTGGTGGAAAATTACCGAGGACCCGTTTCCATGCTTGAGTGTCTCCGTCGATAAGGGACGAGGCTTGCGCCAATCCTGCGTTGTTCACTAGGATATGCGTAGGCCCCAAGTTTTTCAACACGTATTCGAACGCGGTCACGATGTCCGACTCTTTGGTGACGTCGCATTGCACTGCGACCAGTTTGCCTTTCTCGCCGCTCAGCTTCTTCGACAGTTCTTCCACTTTTTCCTTTCTTCTAGCCAGTCCCGCCACCTGCCAGATGATTTATTTATCAGCCACAGTCATCCGGATTATAGACAAGCAATATGAAAGATAAGTCAGGCCTAGGCAATATACATAATAAATAAATATGTTAAAATGCATCAAGAACAAGGAACGACAATGGAAATGATAAGTGGCCAGAAAGCAGATTCTGACTAGAATCTGGTCAAAATCAGCAAGTATCTGACTCGAAAATGCAGATATGCTCTTAAAACCCTGTTTTGGTTGATTATCGTGGCGTAGTTTATCAAGAGTCCTTGCCTCAAGGTCGTATAGTCAATAAAGAGTATTACCTTGAAGTTATGCACGAGAAGCGTTACGAAGAAAACGTCTGAAATGGTGGACAAATAATTCATCCACTTGCTCACTCATCATTGCTTGTGCCTGACTTTTTGGCCAAAAACAAAACCACAATCATGCCTCAGCCACCATATTCACCAGATATGCCCCCCTGCGACTTTTTCCTGTTTCCAAAACTCCAGAAACCCTTGAAAGAAAGGGGGTTTCGAACGACTGAGGAGATAGGGAAGAAATCGCTCGAAGAACCCAAGGCTCTACCAAAAGTTCTTCAAGGATTGGAAAAAAAGTTCGGCCCAAGTGTATTATATCTGGTAGGGATTACCGCGTTGCAACTGTTTTTTGGTGAAAGCTAGAACAGTCAATTCTGAATGGTACACAACCATTTGTTTGCTGAAAAAACTTCGAAAAAATTAGAAAAACCAACCGCCGAAGAGGAATCACTCTCCACAACGACAATGCCAGCTCTCACCGATCAGTGCAAACAAAGAACTTTAAGAATAAATTACGCGGGCATCGATTTTTGCCAACAGAAGAAGCGATTGATGCGTTTAAAAAGCATGTTTTGGAGGTGCCCGACTCGATGTGGGAAAAGTGCTTTGATCGTCAGGGTGAACAATTTGAGAAACAATAAAATCATATTTGTTGGTAGCTTATAGTTTTTTATTACAAATTCCGGAATATAAAAGATAACCCTCGCATGAGGTTTCGTGATTGTGTTCGGCAACTACCAATGAGTTTATTTGTCGTCGTTAATTGTATTTGACTAGCTTCACAGAAGTGTGTGTTAATTCTGTAGAGAAGAGTAGAGAAGAGTGGAGGTTAGGTGTGACAAAATGACGTAGAACGCTTTGAACCAGGTGATTCAGTACGCCATATCAAGGAAGGCTTCGTCTGTCAAAATGCTTCTTGCAGAACTCTGTCAAATATCGTATTGAATGCCGATGTCGTTGTGCGGGCAACTTTATCAAAGCAGGCCGTGGTATACAAACAAGTGTGCGTGTGATGAGACGACGCTTTTATCGAATTTGATGTTATTTTTAAAACTTGAAAATGTGCGGACTCATTCAAAGCCGCGCGAAGCAATTTTGTTTGTTGTCGAGGATAATTGTATGAAACGGAATGAGAAAAACGCATTTTCACTTAAGCGATACGTGTCGCAATCAAATGAGTGATACACGATAACCGTATCTATCGATATTGCGGATTCATGGCCATGGCAGTTCGCCAAACGGGATTATTATTTATTTTCGTTATCATTAGACAGCTGGTTTAAAATGTTTATCTCAACATCCAGAAACGTTTTTTATTTCCAGCCCGATTTTTGAATATTTTTTCAAAAGTGGAAGGAAACATGTAAACGAGATGTGAAAATAAATAGTGAGAAATTGAAAATATCTCCCATTCAATACAGGGCTACATAGGTTAGGAATTGGTTAGTCATTGGTCGTTAGTTCTGAGTCGTTCTTAGCCGTTAGATAACGATATTCGTTAATTATTCGATGTTAGATAAAGATGCACAATGAAATAGTAAACAAACTTAAAATACTTAAGTAGTAAATACGACTAAGTAATGAGTTATATAGTGAATACGCGATTCAATCATTTTTTCGAAATAGCAACTCGAATTTCAATACGCGCAAATTTAGAAAAAGTTTCTAATTCTAATCCTTATTCGTACTTTTATCGGAAACATTGGGTTAATACTTATTTTATTTTATGGCAAGTAAACACAATAGACAATGGAAAAAATTTTATTCCATGGGCTTCTAACAAAGTATAGGATAATGTATATCGAAAATCTTAGTATCTTATTAAATTACACTTAGAAAAAACAATGTTACAAATGTTACAAAAAAAGGCTCGTGTTGATTGGTCGAAGGAAATAATAAAAAAATACGATCGCGGTGCTTCCAAACACGTCTATGATATCTTGACAGGTGATGAATCATGGATCTACGCATATGAACCTCAAAGTAAGCAGCAGTCGACTGTGTGGGTCTTTCAGAATGTAACTAAGCCCACAAACGTTGTTCGTGAGCGAAGCACGTCGAAACAAATGATAGCCTGGAGAACTTTCCACGTTGCAAGTGTTTCTTTGGTGAAAGATAAAACGGTCAATGCTGAATGGTACACAACCATTTGTTTAATCACGACGACAATGCTAGCTCTCACCGATCAGTGCAAATAAAGACCTTTTTGAGCATTGGAAATGTTGACTCGAAGAGCCATCCACCATTTGGATTTGGCACCTAATGACTTCTTTTCGTTCCCATACATTAAGAATAAATTACGTGTGCAGCGATTTTTGACACCAGAAGAAGCGATTGATGCTTTTAAAAGGCATATTTTATATTACTCTTCCACTTAAAACAAAAAAATTGGGGTTACTTTTAGATACAAAACTTCGCTTTGAAAATCATCTCTCGACTTGTATGCAAAATGCTATTGATTGTTTAAAAGGGTTGCTCTTGTTCTCTCCGTGTTTAATCACTGTAATGTCGTACATGGGAATTGTTGAACGTATTGAAAAGATTCAAAAAAGCTACAAGCTGTTGTCTTTATTTCAAAATAATTAAGACAAAATATCGCGAATACCTCTCCGAAAAAATAACTTTAAAAATAGACGTACATAACTCAAACCTAAGATTTAAAGGGATTATAATTCGTCGTCACCCATCTGGTATATTTGAAAGATCCTTCAGTTACGACAACACGATGATGATTGAGACAGACTACATACTATATTTCTTCCCAAAAAGTGTTATTCATACTTTTGGAGGATAATTGAAAATATTCTTCAAAGGCACGTCGTTCGACACAAGAAATTATTTTCAAAATGGCGTTAAAAAAGTACGAAAGTCAAAAGAAAATCATTCACGATTGCTTGATACTGGGTATAAATTATTTAGTTAGAGCGTTCAAATAATAAAACTCCGCTTAGCCCGACCTTACCACGAGTCCATTCTTAACCAGCTCCGTGACAATGGCGGCCCCTATTCCTGCGCTCGCGCCGCTGACCACAGCGACCTTCCCGACCCAACGACCTAGAGACAACACCATCTTGCTTCTCACGACACACAGAGATGTTCCAACCGAACGTTGCCGTCGATAGCGGGAAAATGCCTTTCAATTTTTATAACCGGCAGCTTTATTTGTTCGCAAGTGACGCCCGGAAGACAGAGGCGGCGCGTCACCGTTTCCGCCACTAAAATTATTTTATTTAGAAGTCCTTTCAACACAGATTTTTAAATTATTTACGTACAGGTTGTCTCATTTGTGTTGTATCATTTGTCAAACGGTTTTTCTTATAGTCTGTCTCAATCTTTATCGTGTCGGCTTCCTTCATATAAAATGTTAACGATGTTATTGTTATTATGTAAAGCGATTAACAAAACATTTATTCCTACTTCAGTGACAAGGCAGGGGTGCGCCAGGTGCATTTCTTTTTTCTGATATACTTCTTGTTGACGATTTCTGGCAGTGTTGAATAATCATCTTTAGAGTGAATTGTGAAAATGTTAATTTACGAGAATATAACAATGTTTTGCTCAGGTTATGAAAAATGTGTATGAAACTTTAATCAATAGAGAACTTATTAAACGGGAAGCTTTAAAACAAACCTGCTTACTTTCAAAAACGCCAACATCGTCGATACGGGATATTATTAGTGGTTAAGAATTGAAGAGAAAGAATAAACTGTACTGTACTGTACTGTAGCTGCTTATATGTAGTTTGAGGGGGGTGGAGCTAAATGAGGGGCATCAACTTCGTCTTGGATTATTGATTCCCATATTGGGGACAGGTGAGAACCTGAGTAGCGGTTAAGACTCTCCGATCCTTCGTTGCAGGAATTTTAGTTTTATCTAATAAAATTTTATGTCCGGTTTTGTGATTATGTTCGGTCACTGCGAATAAGTTTACTTGTCTTAGTCTTAAGGCGCTTTCATGTTGATATTTTTCGTCAGGTCTCTCTAATGTATTCTGTGCCACATATACATGTAATGTAATGTATGGTGTATGGTGTTATGTTTATTTAGAATTTTTGGTATGTGGTCAGTGATGTTTTGAATGTAAGGAAGAATAACAGTGGCAAATGTGGGATTGCTTTCGGGTTCATTGCTATTGAGTAAGATCACATCAAGTGGACCCCCCATTTACCACTTTATCATAAAAATTTAATCTATATATATTTTTTATAAGTACTATGATTGATCCCCCAAAACGATTGTTTAAAATTTTGATGTTAACAACATTTTTTTATAATGAAAATTTTAAGGGTTTTTAATTAAAAAATGGATTAAAAATCAAAAATTTCACTGCTCGTCATTAGTTAAAAAAAATGAATTTATTTATGACAGCGCGCCAGGCGCCGAGCGCTGTGGAAGCGCCGCGATGCCGAGCGTCTCGAACTGCATTGAAGGTTTTATTAGTGATAATTTAAAAAAATTAAAATTTAAAAAAAAATTCAAAAATTTAAAAAAGTAGTATTAAAATAGTAATTAAAAAATATAGTATTGATGCAAGATCTATGAACTTATTGTGTTTGTGATTAGCAGAAAAAGTGATGACAGAAAAAAGTTAAACTAAATATAATAGGAACTGGTTTTACAATCAAATAATTTTAATTGTAAATTTTGTCGAGTTTTATTTTGGTGTTATCAAATTTTACACTGGTATGAAGCTAGAATAAATTCATTCAATCATTGAATACTATTCACTGGTAATATGGTAAATTTGGAATATTTTTTATCTCCAAAATGAAAAAAATGTTAATTCGAGCTATTTAAAATACTCCCTTTTTTTACTAACAATTTCAAGTTTGTGTTTAAATTTTAAGAAGCTATTTAAACAAAAATTATAAAAAATAATATTTACAGTTCGGATTCAGGAGTTTTTGAAACCGTAGTAACAAAAATTCTGATCAATAATATTTACAATTTGAATTTCAACATTTTTAAAACAAGAGTAAGTATATTTATCAATTATTTACAATTACCAGACATCTGTTATAAATCTCACATTTTCTTTGGTAATGAAATAATAAAAATATGGGAACATTGTTAGGCTGCGTGTTACAATAGTCATTATTTTCAAATGACAATCTCTCACTTGAATATCAATGAATTTCTTTATGTACTTTTTTTGAAGCATGTCTTCTGCATTTTATGTTCTTTTGGATTTATTTGATTTTCTATCGCCTCACCTGCTTCGTTTACTAGACACAAACGCAAAATATTGTGAATTTGAATATTAAATACAATTAACTGATTTTCTTTGACTGCATTGAAATCATAGTTTCTTACCTCTTAATGTAATTTTTACAAAGCTATTTGTTTCAATATTAATTAAAGCTGGTTCATTATCAGTAAGTAGCCTTGCGTACTTCTAAAGTAATGCCTTTGTCAATATGTGAGCATTCATTTGGAATAACAGTAACATTATGGATATTAGCAATATATTTGTACTTTACTACTACAAAAATAAATAAGTTTTTCTTTGAATTATTTTTAAAGCAATAACTTCCAAAGCCGTTCAAATATTACTTCGTCATTGTTGATGTTTACCAATGAATTTTGGCAGTTGCACTTATCAACGGAGGTTTTGGCATATTCTTGGGCATCTTCAAAATATTATCAGGCGGAAGTACAGTGGGAATAGCATTTGGTACTAATAGTCGTTTGTGTGCTGTATTTTTCTTGATATAACGTCTTTCAAAATGATCGAAATAAATTTGTAGACTGTTTGAATACCCTTTATACTGAGCAAAGTCCTTCCAATGTTGGCGTCTATACAATTAAATTTATAAATCAATTTGAAACACTAATTTTATTAAACAAAATTTTTAATATTATATCATCAAATTTAATTAAAAAATATATATATATAATAATATATATATATATATATATATATATATATATATATATATATATATATATATATATATATATATATATATATATATATATATATATATATATATATATATATATATATATATATATATATATATATATTCTCACGTATTGATTCACGGATGGAAAAATGTGATGACACTATATTCCGGGATATCATCCGTTCGCTCGTTGAACTCCGACTGGAATCCTGCATCCGACTGGAATCCTGCAAATCTTGCATCCGACTGGAATCCTGCAGACGTTTCGCCAAAATCTCACTTGGCATCTTCAATGCTCGCGTTCCGAAAACACTTCGAACACTGGGAGGTTATCGGCGGTGCGTGCGGTATTTATACTCTGCGCCGGAGATGGTAACGGTGCTGCTTATGCGTGGGGGGAGGTGGCTCCGCCCCCTGAATTGTCGCGTTGTTAATTTCGCCCGATCGTAGTTGCGATGTTCCCGTTGGCTGCTGCGCATCGCTCTGCTGTTTGATTATCGTTCTCCACGTGTTGGATAAATGCAGAGCGTCGTCTCTCGTATTGAGGTGTCCGGACTTTTCTATTTCGATGGCCTCTCGTATAATCCTAGTCCTAAAATCAGGAATATTAGCTATTTGTTTGCAAGTGCCGAAATCAATTTTATGGCCTGTCTGATGTTGGTGCTGAAACAAAGCAGATGTTGTTTGTTTGTTTCTTATGGCTAAACGATGTTCCTCGAGCCTGGCTGAAATCCTTCTGTTGGTCTGTCCCACATACGTCAGGCTGCACGATCCGCATGCTACACTGTATACTCCTTGGTTTTCCAGAGTAATTTTTTGTTTTGGGTTTCTTAGTATTGCTCCGATGGTATGGTCAGGTTTGTATGCCGTTGAGATGTCGTTTTTCCGTAATATTCGGCCGATTTTGTCAGTAACCCCCTTGATGTATGGCAGGACAGCGATCGATCTTCGTTGGGTCTCGTCCTGCACTCTCTGCTGCGGCTGTTGTTGTTTACTGATTGCCTTGCTGATGGTGCGCCTTTGGTATCCGTTTTGTCGAAGACAGGTACTAATTTTCTTCAGTTCTTTATCTCTGTTCCTCTCGTTTGTGAGCCTGAAGGACCGAGCAATTAATGTATTTGCCACTGCCTGTATCTGTGATGGGTGGTGATGAGATTTAGCGTTCAGATATCTATTAGTGTGTGTTGGTTTTCTATAGACAGTGTGTTCCAAGTGTCCATCTTCGGTCCTTGTGATGAGCACATCTAAAAAGGGCAGACTGTTATCCTCTTCAAGTTCTATTGTAAATTGAATCCTTGGGTGAATGGAATTCAGATGATCTAGGAATTTCAAAAGCTCCTCCTTGCCAAAAGGCCATACAACAAATACGTCATCAACGTATCTTGTCCATAGTTTCTTCGAAAAGAAAGCAATAGAGAAGGCAAATCTGAAGCCAAAACTATGGACAAGATACGTTGATGACGTATTTGTTGTATGGCCTTTTGGCAAGGAGGAGCTTTTGAAATTCCTAGATCATCTGAATTCCATTCACCCAAGGATTCAATTTACAATAGAACTTGAAGAGGATAACAGTCTGCCCTTTTTAGATGTGCTCATCACAAGGACCGAAGATGGACACTTGGAACACACTGTCTATAGAAAACCAACACACACTAATAGATATCTGAACGCTAAATCTCATCACCACCCATCACAGATACAGGCAGTGGCAAATACATTAATTGCTCGGTCCTTCAGGCTCACAAACGAGAGGAACAGAGATAAAGAACTGAAGAAAATTAGTACCTGTCTTCGACAAAACGGATACCAAAGGCGCACCATCAGCAAGGCAATCAGTAAACAACAACAGCCGCAGCAGAGAGTGCAGGACGAGACCCAACGAAGATCGATCGCTGTCCTGCCATACATCAAGGGGGTTACTGACAAAATCGGCCGAATATTACGGAAAAACGACATCTCAACGGCATACAAACCTGACCATACCATCGGAGCAATACTAAGAAACCCAAAACAAAAAATTACTCTGGAAAACCAAGGAGTATACAGTGTAGCATGCGGATCGTGCAGCCTGACGTATGTGGGACAGACCAACAGAAGGATTTCAGCCAGGCTCGAGGAACATCGTTTAGCCATAAGAAACAAACAAACAACATCTGCTTTGTTTCAGCACCAACATCAGACAGGCCATAAAATTGATTTCGGCACTTGCAAACAAATAGCTAATATTCCTGATTT